CTATAGCATGAAGAAAATTTCCATCCTTCTCCGTTACCTTCGATGGCATAGAACTGGAATGGGGATTTTTAGTGAGTTAATTATATTAATCTGAAGAAAGTGGAGATGCAGCCAGCCTACTTAACACAGATGAAGAAGGGGAACAGCTGTAGGTTCACACCACTCACTATCTAGTGCAAGGAGCCTACCTTCAAAATCAAGTTGAAAGCCTTCACAGCAGTTGGTGATAGACCACCGTTTAGGTTGAAGTTCAACACCAAGAACAGAAACTGAACTGAGGGACGAAAGTACAATGGACATCTTCACGTCAGTCAGTCAGTCAGTCATCAGGTCAAACTGCGAGATAGTGAAGGATCGGGTGTGGAAGAACACCGGAACTCTTTGAAAGCAATGTGGAAAGAAACCTGCATAACCATGTTAGGAAGGAAGAAGAAGCGCCAAGATAAGGAATGGATCTCTACGGATATATGGAAGCTGATAGAGGATGAAGAGGAAGATGGTGATGGTGATGGTGATGGTGATGGTGAAGCAGAAGATAAATCAGTGCAGTGCAAGGATGAACAATGAAAAGAGGAACTGAACACAATCTATAAAACATTGGACGAAGAGGTGAAGAAGAGTGGGCGCAAAGACAAAAGATACTTCTGTGACACATTGGCAAGTGAAGCAGAATAGGCTGCTGGTAGGAGAGACTTGACAACATTATATCAAATAACCAGGTTACTGCTATCTGGGAAGAGATCAAAACAGACGAAACCAATGAAAGATAGTGAGAAAAGCTAGTTACCAATGAGGAGAAACAAAGGAAACAATGAGCTCACCACTTGAAAAACTCTTGATTCGACCACCACCACCCGCAACTCGTCCGGAAATACCACCAGCCGTCCAGTCACAGAATTACCAGTGAGCACAGGCCCTCCAACAAAAACCGAAGTCCTGAACGCCATAAAGCTGCTGAAATCTGGTAAAGCAGCAGAACCACATAGAATTCCATCAGAAGCACTGAAAACGAACGCAGAGATGATAGGGGACACACTCACACCACTATTGCAGAAGGTTTGGAAGGAAGTAAGGAAAGGTATCTGTCAGTTGATTGGTAGAAAGGCTATCTTGTCAAACTCCCAAAGAAGGGGGTATGTGGCCTAAGTGTTTGCAGGAACTGACGAGGAATCATGCTGCAAAACAAAATATTAAGCCGCATCATCCTGGAGAGACTGAAGGATGTGCTGGATTCAAAGGTACGACCAGAACAGGTTGGCTGGATTCAGGAAGAACAAATCATGTGTGGATCAAATTGTGACGCTACACTTCGCATCATCATAGAACAGAGCATAGAATGGCAGAATGGCAACTCTCTACCTCAACTTTATCAACTTTGAAAAGGGCTTCGACAGCATCTACCGACAAGCAATTTGACAGGCAGCTGCTTCAATACTACGGAATACCACAAACCTTTATCAACCTCATTCAACAGCTATATGCTATACGATGCTACATGCCGCGTGATTCACAATGGAAAGCTTAGTGACGCCTTTGAAGTGAAGACAGGAAGGAGTAAGACAAGGCTGCCTACTATCACCAATGATATTGCTGATTGTGGTGGACTGGATCATGCAGCGAACCGTAAGGAGCGGAATGGGCATACGCTGTTTGACCGATGAAAAGATCCTAGGAGAAGATTTGGATTTCTCCGATGACTTGTGTCTAATGTCACACAAACTCGAAGATCTACAGGCAAAATTCAACAATTTGACAGAAGAGGCGAGGCAGGGCAGCGAAGACAGGACTTCAAGTGGAAGTAGAGAAGACGGAGGTGATGAAGATACTCAACCAGCAACAACAACAACAAGCTGCAATCACTATCAACAGGAAAAACCTAAAGGAAGTAGTCTCTTTCATCCAAGGCAGCATCATTTAGAATACTGGCGGCACAGGCACAGATGACAACGTCAGAGAAAGGGTCGGAAATGCACCAAGACACGCCTTCCTGCATTAACCTGAAATAAATCAGTGTGGAGATCTACTGCACTGCACTGCACTGCACTGCACTGCACTCAGCATTAAGCGTGGACAAGATCCAGATTTCCAACACTAACTCATTCAAGTAACTCAGAGTTTCTATATGCTTCACAAACTTGGCCCGTCACGAAAAGCATTTCCAACAGACTGCAGATATACATCATCAACAGCTACCGCCTACACTCACTCGATACTGAAGATCAGATCAAATGGTCAGAAAGAATAAGCAACAAGGAACTCACTATGGCTGGCAACGAACCAACCAACAACCCGTCGCCCAACAGATGTGAAGAAGAAGAAGAAGAAGAAGAGGAAAGAGGAGATGGATTGAATTGGGCATACAGTGATCGGACGGATTGGGATCACAACGCCCCGGGTCAGGCGGGTGCGGGGCCAGGTCAAACCCTCGAGTGGAAGCCAAAGGGGGAAACAACGAGTTGGGGATCTGAGGCGAGGTTGACATGGGGGAGATGGTGTGAGGAAGAAATGAGAGCTTGTGGGCAGTGGTGGAGGCAGGTTTTGAAGACTGGAGAGAAGAGAGTGAAATGGTGACGTGTTACTGAAGCCATGTTCCTATGTTCCACTAGGAACCCAAGGGACAAATAATAATATAATAGTACGAATAACAATGACAACACAAGTGGAAAGGAGTTCACAGCCTCCATTGTGTTACCCTACAAGGAAGGTATATTAGAAACCTTATGTAGGATTCTCAACAAAGCTGGAATTAAATTAGGGTGGAATTAAAGCCTACAAACTCACTCAGAAATAAGCTTTGTCGGCTTAAAAATCCGATAGAACCAGTTAGAATAGCCGAACATACGAATTTAACTAAATGTAGAATGACAGACCTAAATAAGATCAATAATCTAGAAGAAAAACCCGGCTATTGGATTACATGCATTAACGTACAGCCACACAATAGGGTAGGATAAAGCCACTGTACTTAAGTCGAAGATAATTAGGTGGAGAGAGAGAGAGAGAGAGATTGATTACTGAATCTTTGTTCAGCGAATCAGCATCCAACACATGTAATAGAAATGATGCAACACCAATACCAGAGATATGGAGAATTTTACTACCAATAAAAACAACTCATATGAGGTGACTGACGTAACTGTAAAAATCAAATGTCGAAAATAGTGTGATTACATATGATATGATTATGAGCAGTAATAATATATGCTCAAAATGTCATCAAGTAAATAATACTATATCACTCACTGTGTTATAAATGAAATAAACAAATGTAATATGGAATTAAATTCTACCACAGTGCCCAAGTTTTGCACCTATATTAATGCCCTACATAGAACCACCTTGCATCTAAATTGGTTCCACTGCATCGAATATGCTCATTGCTGTAGTCAAAACTGGACAAATACATTTTTTGTTTCTTCGAAATGCCTATATCAGTTTATATATATATATAGGTACAAAGGATTACACCACGTTGAGATTTCTGAACATATTCTTAAAAGCTTACGACTGACGAAGAAACAATTTCAGCAGAACAGTTGCCCAACATCTGAGTTATACAGGAAATAATGTAGACGTCTTATACGTTTTCTAAGGCTATAGCTATCAAACGTCTGAAACCTGGTTAAGGAGTTCAAAAGAATACTGTCATCAGCCTTTTTCTGTTTGCGCAACCCGCTTCTAAATTCCTACTATAATCTAGTCAAATTATCTCTTCTGTATTAACGATGGATAGTGGCTAGCAGTGGAATCCAGGACGCGGGTGTCGTCCTGTTTGGGATTCTTCAGCTGGATGTACATACACCCCAGTGAGTATTGTTCCCACCCGGATTCGGAATGCCAGAGTGTTATCCACTAGACTACTGAGTCACCACAGCCACTTCCTGTGCAAAGTGTATACTTTTAATCTCTGATTATATCTAGACAGTAGCTTTGATAGTTGCTTTGTTAAATCATCTTTTACTAGATCTTGTATGTTTTCCGTAAATCTTTAAGTTCGAAATTAAAAACTTTTGGTAACTTCTAAATTAAGCATAGGTAAATGAGGAGATAGGAACTCAATTTGATCTGAACGGTTCATGCTCTAGTCGTCCATTTACTCCAGATCAGAACACATCCGTATGATGAACAACAGCAAAGAAAGCGAATTATTATTATATTATCCCTTGGGTTCTTAGTGGAGCATAGGGCTTCAATAGCACGTCTCCATTCCACTCTGTCACCTGAAATATTTTCAACCTGGCTCAACGACAACCCACAACCTCTCATTTCCTCCTCGCACGACCTCCTCTATATCACCCTCACCTCCGACGCCCAACTCGTCGCTTCTCATCTGGGTTCCACTCGAGCAACTCGCCTGACGCGTGATATCACCAGTCGGTCTTCTCAGTCTATGCCCAATCCAATCCAATCCAATCCATCTCCACTTCCCCATTGTGCATATTTGTTGAGTGATAGGTTGTTGCATCGTTGGTTCGTTGACAGCTAGCCAGAGTTCCTTGTTGCTTATTCTTTCTGGTCATCTATCTGATCTCCAGTAACGAGCCAGCGTAGGTGGCAGTTGTTGATGAATGTGTGTAGTTTGTTGGAAATCCCTTTCGTAACGCACCAAGTCTCTCAACCATACAAAAGCATTGACTTGACGTTGATGTTGATGTTGAAAATCCGAATGTTGTTCACGCTTTATGCTGAGTGCAGTGCAGTGCAGTGCAGTGCAGTAGATCTCCACACCGGTTTCAGGCTAATCAACGCCTCTCGTGCTTTTCCGATCCTTGCTTTGACATCCTCATCTGTGCCTCCGCCTGCAGTTGAAACGATGCTGCTTAGGTAGGTGTAGGTGAATGAGGCTACTTCCTTTAAGTTTCTCCCGTTGATGGTGATTGCAGCTTGTTGTTGTTGTTGCTGGTTGAGTATCTTCATCACCTCCGTCTTCTCTACTTCCACTTGAAGTCCTGTCTTCGCTGCCCTGCCTCGCCTCTTCTGTCAAATTGTTGAATTTTGCCTGTAGATCTTCGAGTTTGTGTGACATTAGACACAAGTCATCGGAGAAATCCAAATCTTCTTCTGGGATCTTTTCCCCGGTCAAGCAGCGTATCCCCTCTTCTCGCTCCTCACTGTTTGTTGCATGATCCAGTCCACCACAATCAGCAATATCATGGGTGATAGTAGACATCCTTGTTTTTCTCCTGTCTTCACTTCAAAGGCATCACTGAGCTTCCTACATAAATTAAGAAACCCAAACCCAATAAGGAATGCAATAATGGTTGAAGTGTCTGCGGAAACGCCTAAACGAATATACTTGGGTAGATATGCTTGCATTAACTTCCATTATACCGAGTTACGTTTTACACATTTCGCTCGTCAATAAACCTAGTGTCTTAATCTATCAATTTTAGAGGATTATCGGTTGCTTAATGTATACGATTGCGACATTTTGTCATGTCTTCATAACCTTCGAATTTCTCATCACGATTTTTCTTATTAATACATGCTCCTCTCTGTTTGTTTTGACTACTAACCGAATTTGCATCCTAGGGACAATGAACCATGCTAAATTTCATTCATAACTCCTTATCAAGTGATAATCCAGGTTGCAGTAAGCTGTCGAGAAACTGGTGAAATAACAACTTCATTAAGAGAATTTTATGTATGAAATATTCTCTTCAACTGAAAATGTGAAGCATTTGTACAAGAACATTATTCCTCATGGGGATATGAGTAGTTTCTAGCACACGAAAATGATAATTACGTCAACTCTTTTATTCAATCATTAATAGACGTCATGTTAGTAACACTGGAAGCATTTTAACGCAGATATTTGGAATTAACTTGAACAAAGTCATTCATATGAACTTGGTGTAGTAGTCAACAAGCTTATTTAATGATAATTAAATGGAACTCAGATACTGCGGTGAAATGTAATTCCATATGACATTCGCTTACTTGGTATAACATACAATGATGGTACTATTGACTGGATTATGTTTGCAACACAAATTATTACCTTTTCAGCCAAAATGTCGCTACAGTGGTCTATAAAAGTTGACCGTAACAACTGGTGAGTCGGCCAATTACATTCCTTTATTTCATGGAAAACTACTTTCTTAGGAGAAATACAAAAACCTCATTGGTCTATTTAACAGTTGCTAGGGTTGCCTTTAAAGTCATTTGGAAAAACCATGAGAATCGTTCAAATGTCAACCCAATATCTCACTTTATAGAAAATAATACTTAGTTTACGTCTTGTCCAATTATAAACACACTAGGCATGTGAGAGAAAACAAGGAAACAGCTAACGCATAAACAATTCAGACCTTACATTTCATTTGTATGCACTGGATGTCTTGCGTAATAGTTAACTAGTGCGTGGAAAAGACATACATGGACATATCTCTATTTCAACCTATTATTATTATAATACAGGACACCTATTTCGTATGAACTAAACTCAGGCGACACACTTTTGTTTGTTAAGTCACCCAGTTGATCATTTTCACACTGTACTCTGTCCAGATCGGCTGGAAAAAAGTAACTTAATGCCTTAAAACTAACATTTCTAGTAGAATGTACAGCACCATACATAAGGTTGATAAACAAGTTATCCTATTAGGCCAATAGCTGACTGTAGAAGCACACTAACTATGAGTTATCTAAATACTAAGCTACTATACTATACTATACTATACTAAGTCATATTAAAAATCGCTTGATATCTAGGCTCACCAACTCATTTAATTTGAAACACAGACTAAATAATCAGACGAAGGAGAAATGTTGGTCAGTTTTGGTGTGACGAGCCTGTGTACAAACATACCAGTATAAGTATGGTACTTAAGGCAGTCAAAAATGAACTAAAAACTGATCATAAATTCAGTAATAGAACTCAAGTTTTTACTGTGAAACTATGTTAGGCATACAACTGCGTCTAACCTCTACGGTTTTCTAATTTCAAAGCAAGATATATAGACAAACAGAAAAAGTAGTAATGAGATCTGCAGTATCCCCCGATATAAGCAAACATACTCATAAATAGGAACAAACGATATTAGGAACATTCCAACCCAACCTACCGCACATCCCAAAACAAGTATGGTCGCCATATATATATATGACACATTTACTCTGTTCAAATCAAAACATCTGCAATCTTTCCGCACACATTAACTGCATGGTAGATGCATTCTAATTCACTTGTGAATTAGTAAATAAAGGAGAATTACCGATATTCGATTTCAAAATCAAGAGGAGAGAAGATGGAAGCTTGTATACCAGTGTTTAAAGGAAGCCCTAGTGGAACATAGGGCTTCAGTAACACGTCACCATTTCACTCTCTTCTCTCCAGTCTTCAAAACCTGCCTCCACCACTGCCCACAAGCTCTCATTTCTTCCTCACACCATCTCCATACATAATAAGAGATAATTTGACTAGATTATAGTAGGAATTTAGAAGCGGGTTGCGCAAACAGAAAAAGGCTGATGACAGTATTCTTTTGAACTCCTTAACCAGGTTTCAGACGTTTGATAGCTATAGCCTTAGAAAACGTATAAGACGTCTACATTATTTCCTGTATAACTCAGATGTTGGGCAACTGTTCTGCTGAAATTGTTTCTTCGTCAGTCGTAAGCTTTTAAGAATATGTTCAGAAATCTCAACGTGGTGTAATCCTTTGTACCTATATATATATATAAACTGATATAGGCATTTCGAAGAAACAAAAAATGTATTTGTCCAGTTTTGACTACAGCAATGAGCATATTCGATGCAGTGGAACCAATTTAGATGCAAGGTGGTTCTATGTAGGGCATTAATATAGGTGCAAAACTTGGGCACTGTGGTAGAATTTAATTCCATATTACATTTGTTTATTTCATTTATAACACAGTGAGTGATATAGTATTATTTACTTGATGACATTTTGAGCATATATTATTACTGCTCATAATCATATCATATGTAATCACACTATTTTCGACATTTGATTTTTACAGTTACGTCAGTCACCTCATATGAGTTGTTTTTATTGGTAGTAAAATTCTCCATATCTCTGGTATTGGTGTTGCATCATTTCTATTACATGTGTTGGATGCTGATTCGCTGAACAAAGATTCAGTAATCAATCTCTCTCTCTCTCTCTCTCCACCTAATTATCTTCGACTTAAGTACAGTGGCTTTATCCTACCCTATTGTGTGGCTGTACGTTAATGCATGTAATCCAATAGCCGGGTTTTTCTTCTAGATTATTGATCTTATTTAGGTCTGTCATTCTACATTTAGTTAAATTCGTATGTTCGGCTATTCTAACTGGTTCTATCGGATTTTTAAGCCGACAAAGCTTATTTCTGAGTGAGTTTGTAGGCTTTAATTCCACCCTAATTTAATTCCAGCTTTGTTGAGAATCCTACATAAGGTTTCTAATATACCTTCCTTGTAGGGTAACACAATGGAGGCTGTGAACTCCTTTCCACTTGTGTTGTCATTGTTATTCGTACTATTATATTATTATTTGTCCCTTGGGTTCCTAGTGGAACATAGGAACATGGCTTCAGTAACACGTCACCATTTCACTCTCTTCTCTCCAGTCTTCAAAACCTGCCTCCACCACTGCCCACAAGCTCTCATTTCTTCCTCACACCATCTCCCCCATGTCAACCTCGCCTCAGATCCCCAACTCGTTGTTTCCCCCTTTGGCTTCCACTCGAGGGTTTGACCTGGCCCCGCACCCGCCTGACCCGGGGCGTTGTGATCCCAATCCGTCCGATCACTGTATGCCCAATTCAATCCATCTCCTCTTTCCTCTTCTTCTTCTTCTTCTTCACATCTGTTGGGCGACGGGTTGTTGGTTGGTTCGTTGCCAGCCATAGTGAGTTCCTTGTTGCTTATTCTTTCTGACCATTTGATCTGATCTTCAGTATCGAGTGAGTGTAGGCGGTAGCTGTTGATGATGTATATCTGCAGTCTGTTGGAAATGCTTTTCGTGACGGGCCAAGTTTGTGAAGCATATAGAAACTCTGAGTTACTTGAATGAGTTAGTGTTGGAAATCTGGATCTTGTCCACGCTTAATGCTGAGTGCAGTGCAGTGCAGTGCAGTGCAGTAGATCTCCACACTGATTTATTTCAGGTTAATGCAGGAAGGCATGTCTTGCTGTATTTCCGATCCTGGCTTTGACATCCTCATTATTCGTACTAGTGCTACTATTATTGTTTTCGTTTCGTTTCTTGTGTGTTCGTACGAATTTCTTAATTAACTGCGAAGGATAATTATTAACTATTAGCCCTTCTTTTACTTGTTTCAATTTCTTTTTTAGGTTATTGCATTGACTAGTCAGTTTCCTAGCTCTGTCACTTAGATATTTGACTAAGCCTGCCTTAACTGACATTGGATGGGATGACTTGAAGTCTAGATACCTGTTGGAATGTGTCAGTTTTCTGTAGACTGTAGTATCCAAACCACCGTCTGTTCCTCATTTTCATCTGCGATCCAACATTTGTAACTATCCTTGCTCATTTTCTACCTCATACGTGAATTTGATTGTGCCTACTACTGAGTTTATATGTGTAAGGAAATTCTCGATATGTTCCGATTTCAACACAGTAAATATGTAGTCCACATATGGCCACCATATTTTTGGTGCAGGATCAAACGTTTGTCAAGCCGCGTTTTCCCAACTGTCGGTAAATATATCTGCTACGATCGGGGATATTTGTGGTCCCATTGCTACTCCTTCTGTTTGTCTGTATATTTTGTCCTGAGACTTGAAGAATGTGGAGGTCAGGCAGAGCTGTACGTTTAATATGATCTCATCAACCGATATCTTAGTGCTATGAGTAAGTTCTATATTGTTGTCATTCCGTAGATTATTCAGAGGTAATTTTCACGTTTTGTTTAGTTTCACTGTCTGTTGTTTTGTGTTTTCAGTGTTACCACTGTTTTTAGTCTATTGTGACTTACCCTGAATTATCGAGCCTAAAGTTGAAGCGGCTGTTGTTATTGGAATTTCCTCTTCACATCTACTATACTTTGTATTGATCACCTTCTATGATAGCCACTATCTATTACTTATCAGCGATCTGAAACTCTTCCTCCAGTTTATCATGTATTTTTGCTCTGTGCTCGGTTGTGACTATTTATTCAAAAGCTTTCGAAACTCAGATACAACCTATTCCACTTACCTTACATTACTACTAGACTTCTGAGAAGTACAATCCATCTTACGCTGTATCTAAGTGTCCAGAAAGTTGAAATTTTCATCACTCTCATAATCTGTTACAGTCTTTCTTCTCACTGCTATCTCATGTTCTGTTTAAGGCTTTTGTACGAATTCTCAGCTGGGTTGTTTTTTGTCTGTAACAACTTATTACGAATGTGTCAACTGTATGAATTCTGAGAAGTCGTAAGAAGATCATCAGCCTAACCCATATTTTGAGGTTTTAATTGTGGTAATATTTTCAATAATTACTATTAACTAATGTTGATTAGGCCTAGTATACACCAACGATAACGGTTAACATCCATAAAAACTGTGAACAACTCTGCTCGGTTATTGTCCATGGTAGATTGTTTATGAAAAATGTGCAAATTCTACGCTGAAGATTTCAGTCAGATACCTTTCATTCAATGTTTCTGGACAATGAATTATTCAAGTGAAGTAAACTATGTTTGTTTGGTTGAAATGAAAGTTTCTGACATCAGGAAATGTTGATCAAACAGTGAAACTCTATATGGTACAGTGTTGAAGGTGGAGAGATAGAAATTCCCCGAAGTTGACTTCGGTACTTCAATGGAATTTCTTCAGACTTGTGACTAGAAATGCTTATTAACTCGTGTTGATTTTTCGAAACTTCCTTTCTGAAGTATGATTCATATAAACAGCTTCTTTTGTCTGATTTCGTCCACTGAGTCTTTAGTACGCATCTAGACTCAATCGAAGGATTCTGAGGTGGGCCTGGAGAATAGAATCTAAGCAGTAGATGGCTCGTTAAATCAAATTGTTGGCATTGTTTATTGATACTTGTACTTCCCTGTTGCCTACCAGGTGGAATTACTTGACCTCTGTTAGCAGATGGGCTCCTTAGGGGATGCCTTGATTATTATTATAATATTTATTATTATTAGTCCCTTGGGTTCCTAATGGAACATAGGGCTTCAATAGTACGTCTCCATTCCAGTCTGTACCTGAAATCTTTTCAACCTCCTAATGAGTTGTTGTTCCCCCCCCCCTGGAATTGCTACTAAAATACACTATGAATGTTTAACAATGAAATATATTGACAAGTAGATGGGATTACAATGGGCTATCATCTGGGTCCTATGCTAACGGACGTCTTTTCGGCCAAACTTGGAAACGACGCACTCAGGGACACACTTGATAAACTAGCCTATTATTGCCGGTATATAGATGATACGTTCATCACTTTGTAATAATGGCTACAACAAAGATGATCTTTTGAATACCTTCAATAATGTTCACCCAGCTATGAAGTTCACCTACAAGGAAGAACAACGGAATAGTATTTCTTTCCTAGATATCCTCCTCATCACGAAAACAGATAGGTATATAAACAGGAATATTTTTCGAAAGAACATATGGACTGGTTAATATATTCACTTTCGTAGCTTCATATCGATTCAATATACAAGAAAACTGGTCATTTGTCTAAGGTTACAAGATAAGAAACATTTATTCTGATGACTGTATTGAAGAAGAAATGAATAAGCTGAAGATAACATTCCAGCAAAATGGTTATCCACTAAACTTCATAGATAAACACGTGTCGAAACTTAGAGAGAAGATGATCAAAGACAATGTTGCTAAGAGGCCTATATATCTTAGACTAAGTTTCAAAGATGATATTGCTTCGGATATCTTAACACATCGATTAAGTAGATCAGTCAAAAAGACATTCAATCCAGCGAAACATTTTGTCAGCTTCTCAAGCAAACTATTACCGACACAGTGAACCAAGGATAGGTTATCAATGATGGTCACTTCAATGTGCATTTCTGAGTTCAATGGCTTCTGTGAAACTACTTACATACACCATACTCATAGGGCTCTATCCAGGCACTCGTGAACACATGCCACCTTGGTTAGGCAAAGGAATGACGAAGAGCATCAATAGTGCAATCCTCTCACATCTATTTGATACTGGATATGAGATTAAGGTAGATGACACCTTTTCTGTGATATACCGTGTCCCCTGTTATCTCCCCCTAAAGCTGCACGACTTCGCATTTTATCCATAGCCGAAGCCACTGGGGTCAATACAAGAAAACAGGATTTATGTGTTCAAAAGAAATATGTAAATCCACTTTGTTTACCTTGCCCCACAATAGGGTCGACAAGTTCTGTGTGAAATTTCCTACCACAAATTGCATATTTCAACCCCACCCCCACCCCCACTCCTTTCTTCTATATTGTTATTACTTTGATAAACATTCACTTACTTATGTGACTAGTTTTACGCTCTGCTTTATTCATACCCTCGGTAACGGTAGTTATTTTCACCCATGACGTAACATTTCACGTTTGTTATCCTCTATTCCGTTATAGGATTCATATGATTTTAATCCCACCTGAATATAAGTCATCACTACATAATTATCATTTGACCCTTAACTAAATCAATAAACACAATATTCATGTCACAGTTAATGTATGTAAATGAATCATTATCTCTCATTTGATCATAGGAAAAGACAAGAAGTGGTTTCAGTGAAGAAAATCTTTTCTTTTCGATCAAGTCATTTACTACTACTAAGCTGTACATTAGTGAATTTATGTTACAGTGGATAGAATGTTCCAGAGTTGTTTCCGATCAGGGTGGGGGGGGGGGAGCAAAATATATTGAATAATGAAAGGAAGTTAATTAATACAGATTTGTGTTTAGAGTAAGAAAAATAGACAGGATTATAAAATTAAATGGAATTACGTAATACAGGATGAATGTATGACAAATTAGGAAAGTGAACGAAGAGTTAATGAAGACAGATACCGGATAAACTTATGACGACAGAGTATGAGAAGAAACAGGAGATCATGAAAATGAGATTATGATTACATAATGCATTACGTAAAATGGGTCATTGTGAATAAGGAAAGAACTGATATAAAATAGTGAAATATACGTTAAATGTTGTCAATGGAGTGTGAAAATTGGTGATAATGATGATGATGATGATGATGAAACTAAAAGAGAAGTATGCCATAGTGAAGTGAAATGAAATTGACAAAATAACCAACAAGGCCAATGTGAAGAAAGTGGTTTTGATAAAACGTTTTTCAATGCAGTTTCCGTTCTTATTCATGTATAGCTAATCCTTCAGGTCTATGCATAAGTGGTGGAAAGGTCAATCTTTGGAGTAGTTCAATTTAACTTTATAAATTATCATAAAGGGGGACTGTTGACGAGCTGAATCACCTTCATTACTAGGTGTTCACATATGGATGAAGTTGTAGTTAGCTCGCGTTTGGTAAGTCAAACTGAGTAATTTTCAGTAACACTTTTTCAGAGGACCCGCTTACAAAGTCGAATATAGTCAACTTCACAGAAGTATGTGAACCTTTAGATGTAGACATAAGTGGTAGCCTATCCTTTACACACTTTCGAATCAGACGGCAGATGGAGAAAATCGGTCTCAGTCTAGCAGCATAAAAGCTACTATTGATACACCTTGATAGATGGTTTTTCAGCACTTCAGCTGTGATGTCTCCTTTGAATTCCACATTCATGGTTAAGATTTTCTTAGGATGAAGAGTGATTCGTTTCTTCAAAATTAATTCATTCGATGTTTTAGGACATCTGTTATTCGATAGTGTTGTTCTAAGAGTTTCAATTTCAACACCCACCCTTGTCTTCTGAACACATTTTATAGATTCTGGAACCCAGTGAGTGAATGAGATTTCTTTTACAACTAAGAGGTGGCCAACCATTAAAGTTAGTGAACTGGTCGATCCAGGTTGATTTTCGATAGACTAACCTTTGAGTCTAGCCATCATCACTTCCCTTTAACGCTACATCCAGAAAGTGTAAAGTTGAATTTAACTTCTCCTCTATAGTGAATTTAATGGATGGGTGACAATCATTGAAGCGTCTTAGCAGCCCGTCCACTGAACATATTTTGTCGCAAATAACAAAAGTGTCGTCAATGTACCTTTTATATATCCAGAGAAACGTTATAAATGTATATCTTTGTAACATACCCATATAGCAAATTAGTCTAACGGAATTCATTATGCAATGGTCCTACAGTCGGAGCATGCGAGGAAATCAGTAGAAAACAAACATGATGCCTCCCCCCTCCTCTCCGCCAAAAAAAGTAACACACAAGATCTTTAATAACATCCACTTACCTTTCCAAAGGTTGCATCAAAAGTGAATCAATATATGACTCTTCATATACATGAATCCATTCTGATTTTAATTCACATATTACTTCAGATGAACATAAAAATCTGAGAAACTATAAAAATAAATGAATTATTTAATTGAATTTACCTCTTTAGAATATTGAAGTTTCATACAAAGTAAAAAGTATTTCAGTCCTTTTTCACCAAACACTTCCATTTGAAACAAAGTTACATAGAAGAGAACTATAAATGGGATAACAAATTATGAAATAATGGAGAATATTTGTAGCTCAGCTGGATGGTCTTGGTTGTGCAGTGTTTTATGAGGAGCTGGGTTGTTTAATCGTGAAGACGCTTTCATTGTCTCGCTTCTACACAGTGACATCATCAACACTAACTTCAGTATGAAGTCACCTGTCAATATCTCTCCATGACTTATTTAGTAGGTTGCCTTGACAAAACAGTCTATGATTGGTTGTTTCCTTTGATTGTTTAGATGTTCCTGTTCGCTGTCCTCTGACATTTCTGTCGTTTATCACTTTTCTCATAGGTTGATAGATTGGGTCTGTATCTATACATCTGTTGATTGTTGACTGACTGACTGACCTAAATGCTAAGTTTCTAGGAATTCTCTGATGATATTCTTTGTGTTTCCTCTGTTCACAACTTCTACAATGTTAAAACTGAATTCATATCAATAATTATCCACATGTATTGAAATGAGTGATGAAATGTCGTATGTGATGTTTAATAGCCAACTGGTGTTCATGTAGACGAAGGTGAAGAGGGCGACCACTTTGTCCAATGTAGTGTTGACTACAGTTATTCCAGTTGATTTTGTAAATGATATTTGGTTTGTCTTCTTTGGTTGTCGCATCCCTTGGTCTGCATAATAGTGTTTGGAGAGAATTTGTTGGTTTGTGAGCCACACCAATTCCAAGTGGTGTCGGTAATCTTGTCGTGATTTCTGATACATCTTCTTTATGTATGGTAGGATGATGCGTTTATTGATTTCTGTCGATGACTTTGTAGTTGATGATGTACGGGATAGGCATCTTCTGATAAAGTTTCGTGGGTAGCCGTTCTTCTTTATAGTGGACACCAAGTAATTTTCTTCGTTTCTCCATGAAGTTGTTGTACTGCATTGTGTTCCCGCTCTTCTGAATAGAGTCTGCACGCAACTGATTCTGTATGTTGTTGGGTTGTTGCTATTTTAGTTGAAGAATTGGTCAGTAAGTGTGTGTTGGCTTCCTGTACACTTGGGTTTCCAACTTCCCTGTATTTGTTCTATTGACCAGAACATCCAGGAATGGTAGTTGGTTGTTTCACTCTTTCTCCATTATGAATTTGATGTCACTGAAAACGTTGTTGATTAAATTGTGGGTGTTTTCTGTATCATCTTTTTTATTGATGACAAAAGTGTCGTCCACATAGCAAATCCAGAATTTCGGTTTGATCATGGTAGGATGATGGCTTCCAGTGTCTGCATCACTGCTTCTGCAATCAGTCCGGATATCAGTGATCCCATTGGAGTTCCTTTCATCTGTTTGTATATCTTGCCGTTGAATTGGAAGTATGTTGTCAGACAAACGTCGATGAGTTCCATCAGACTTGAACATTTGAGTTTTGTGCGTTCTGTAAGGCCTATGTCTTCACTGAGCAGAAGGGACATAGTTTCCTTGGCCAATTGGGGTTCGATGGATGTGTATAGTGTTGTGCAATAGAAGGATACCATTAATTCGTCCTTTTCTATGTTACTGTTTTTGATCTTTTCTAAGAATTCCGTTGGTGATTTGATGGAATGTCTGTTGATGATATCGTCTAGAAGGACGATGAAAGCGTTTTCACGATTAAACAACCCAGCTCAGAGAACACAATACAACCAGGACAATAGATGAATATATGCCCCTATCAGAAAGCTTTAAAAAGTCACATTAACTTGACAATATAAGTACATGACTCTCATAAATTATTCAGATTACTTAATACCTACCTAAGTGTAATCACTCTAAGATGTAGTTAGTGTTGAACGCATACCACCTAACCATTGAATAGTAACTCAGCATTATCCTATTCAACCCGGGTATCTAATGCTAGCTAGATTCAGTTATTCATCTTTCCAATATTGTAACCACTCCCAATACCTCAACACTGACTTATATGGATGGTATTTCAGTGAGGAATCTTGTTTCATTTAAACAACTGGTAGCTTGTTGATAACTATCAAGTAGAAATGTCACCAACCTTAAGATAAAATAATCTCCATCAGTGATAAGAGCTAAATTAATTCAACAAAGATAACAATAAGTCTTCACAATGAATCTAAACATGATCTCAATGTTAAAATGTTTTATTGGCATAGGTAAACATAAAAATATAGGACAGATAGAGTCAAGTTAACTCTTACCGCTACATCACTTTTTATAAATGTTACACTGATATTTTAGAAATTATTACAAAAACAAATTGAGTACCAGCTAAACGGTAAACGATTATAAGGAATTTTTATGACAGTACACTTACTATAATATAAGGGTTTCTATATGATAACGTCGTCGATTGGACCGAATTGATCGGTTTCTATTAGCATGTGGGCTCGTGTTCAGATGCCTCGATATTGCCTGCCTTCTAATTATGTTAATGATGGATCGTGGGTAGCAGTGGAATCCACTATGCGCATTTCTTCCTATTTAGGACTCGTCAGCTGGATTGTGCCTGCTTCCCAGTCAGTGATGTTGTTCCCACCACGATTCGGACTCGAGAGAGATCGCTTCAAACGCCAGCGCGTTATCCACTACACCACCGAGCCACAATAGCCACTTCTTGTGCAACGGGCATAGTTTTTAGTATAAGGGTTTTTATATGATACCACTGGCGTTTGAAGTGATCGCTCCCGAGTCTGAATCCCGGTGGGAACAACATCACTCGTTGGGAAGCAGGTACATCCAGCTGACGAGTCCCAAATAGGAAGAAATGAGCATCCTGGATTCCACTGCTAGCCACGATCCATCATTAACATAAGTACACTTATGTTCAGTTTCTAAGTAAGATCAGCATACGATCAGACATTACTGCACAACGATCCAAGTTGTCATATCTCACCTCATCAAGGCAACAAGGCAATAAAATGGAAGATGAAGAAGGAAAGGAAAATCGGTCGAATGAAGTAGAATGTAGTAAAAGAAAGGAAGGAGGGATGAGAAGATGGTGAGACCAGGAGCAGTAAAAAAATTCAACGAGAAATGACAAGTATCAACATCCATGCTATCGTTCTGTTCGAGAGAGAACGTTCAGATCATTCTCAGGTTCATGGAAGCTAGAGATCATAAATACTTTGATTTAAAAAACATTACCAGATGTAATTAACACCTTACACTCTCTTATTTACTAGTTATTTCAACCCAATGAAAAGTCAAGGAAAAGATTATTTATCCAGAGAATAAATGAACTAATATTGAATTCTAACCAAGGGTAATATGGAGGAGATCATGTGAGGAAGAAATGAGAGCTTCTGGGCTGTCGTGGAGCCAGGTTCAAAAGATTCCAGAGATCAGAGTGCACTGGAGACGTGCTACTGAAGCTCTATGTTCCACTAGGAATCCAAGGGACAAATAGCAATAATAGAGTGACCAAGATTTAATCTCATATTCATGTTTTAGAAAGCCAATAAAAAAGATCACCAACACAAATTTATCGGTTCTGAAAACATTTCTGTACTGCATACTGTCAAGAGAAATAGTAGACACCATCAAAAATCCACTGATGTATCATTTAGTGCACATGCAGTGCCAAACAGAAGACCTAGATTTTACTACTATATACTACATTCGACTCAAATTCTCTTAGTATTTACACACCAGACTACTTAGTGTCAAAAAAGTCATAGTTATAAGCGGTTTCTAGCCAAAACTATGTACACAAAAATGGCTTCTTCTGTTCTTCTTCTTCCTCATCTATGAACTTTTTATCGAAAGTTTATAGACAATCGCAGTTATTATTCTTAACCCCAAATGCTTAAGTGTCAGTATTATCTGATTCAGCATTTCGTTTAGTATCAGTTTGACTGTGACCAGACTTCACGCATAAGAAGTCATTCATCACCAGCGTAGAACAGACACCTGGACAACTTTGTTATTGATTTCGTCTTCTTTGTGATTATTCTCTAATTCTGTCTCATAATTGCATTTCCCGTAAAAACTGACTGTGATTTGCTTGAAACAGATGTTTAGTGTGAATCCGATTCTCAGCATAAAAACTATAATGCCAAAATTATTCTCCATCTTCATCTCCTTATTCTACTCTTATGGTCTACATTCTAAAGACTGAAATAAGGGAACGGTCATTTAGACTTTGACATGCTATTTTATTCAAAAACAAAATCCATCAAGTTTGTGGCAAACCACATTCAGTAGGTGCTGATGAAGAGATTAAATCTCTAAGGCTTGAATAACGTAAACAGGGTTACTAACTCCACAGACTCCACATCATGGAACACTCATGGAATTGTATTCGACGAACCGCTTTACTGACCTTAAGAAGACTATTGTAGAGTCACACACTTCTCCAGAATCAATAGCCTAGGGTTTGACGACATTCAACATTGATGCTGACCTTGATAGTTTAACTGGACTCACGAAGCTGAAGGCACACGGTCAAACATCCTCGCCATTTGGCACGCTGTCGTGTTACGTTGCACTGTTCGTAATCGATTCTCTAGCCAGTTAGATGGAAGGCATAAGTCTCTTGCCACAACCACCCAAATATACCATTCCATCCGACTACGCTGTTGTGTCCTTTCTTGGTCTCGTATTCCTGGATATATAACAAGTTCGAATAATTAATGATTAGCCTCTGCGTCTGCCAAGTTTACACCAGGACAATTCCAAAACTATTAAAGAATTAAACTGGTCATGATCTACTACAGGTTGCTTTGAAAAATGCATCATAGTTTGTATTGAAAATTCATTTAGAATTGGATATGAATAACTTCAAAGTGAGGCACAGTGTATACTTTACAACCAAAATACTATTCTCCAAGAAAGAGAACATTGATAGGTGCTTCTGAAGGATGCAGCACAAGAGTAAGAGTATATGATAACCTGACTAATCTTAGTCATATGTGTAAGGCCGTGACATCATACTTATGGCTCTTCATGAAATATTTGATCGATTTACAAGGAACAGCACAAGAAACATATGACTGACACCTATCTGTTCACTCTGGGAACACACAACTACTCTACGCGAACTAAATGTATTTGAAGTGCAGTGAACGCTTCTTCAAATAATTTCTTTCAATTAATACTCAAAGGATGCAGAGGCTCTGTGACTTTTCCTACACAAGCAGAACCAAAAAGCAAAATTTGTTCCGATTAAATTATGAAAGGGTTAGGTGAGACCTCATGGAGCTGTGCCAACTTTTCTACACACGAGTTCCCCTTATGTACAGATGATTTCTGTCAAATAGGAATGTTCAGTAGTTATAGAAAGAAAAATGACTTCGTTCAAGATAAATATCTTCATAACTCTTAGAAGTTTATTGGAAGAATTCGCTATGTCGAATAAAGATAAACTGTATTAAGACAGTTCCCTATAATGGATAGCTAGTCTATGATGAAAGTCAACTTTTACATGTCCTCAACAATGTTCAGCCTCTAAACCTGATTCATTGGCACGAAAAAGCAATAGAAAACGCATTCCTGTTCGACAACAAACTTGTATTCAAGCATTTCAACGTACGCTGTTTGAAAAGGGGAGTGACTTTTCACGTTCAGCTAGACTCTTGGCATTTTTTGTGTTTACACATCAAAGGCTGTTGTATTTTTGCTCTAATCGTAATAGTATTCGATTAAAGTGAGACAGAAACTTTTACAGGGTAAATTTCTTTAGTTTCTGCTACACAGTGAGCCAAATGTGTCGTAAAAATGCTTGTGGTAAGGCTGGATGCCACTCACTTCACAGTGGCCTCTGGTATGAGGTGTAGCGAATGTGAGTGTTGGTTCCACGACAACTGCAAACGCTTCACACCCTCAGACAACCAGAAGCAGAACTATATTTTAGATTAGCAGCTAGAGAGCAAGATCTGAAAGTAGTGGGTTTTCGTGCAGTGAGGTTTCAGCAACAAATGATGCTGAAGCCTCTATGGATAGGACGGAAACTCATTTAGGTTGTTTTGTTGTCGTGTACACAAATGCACGTAGTCTCTTAAACAAGTGGACTGAGCTTAGTAATGTGATAAGCAACGAAAGTCCTAACATCACTGCTATCTCAGAAATTTGGTTCTCTTCTTGGACCAGTGACTGTGAAACACACTTACGAGGATTCGTCCCCTTTAGAAGTGACAGAATAGCACGCAACGTTGATAGTGTCATCCTTTACGTTAAGAATACCTTAACTGTAAAAGCCATAGAAACAGTTGTATATGAAAGTGGGACATGTGAAATACTGCGCTGCCGACTAAAATCCAAGGGACAAGATGTTAACGTAATTGTGATATATCGAAGCCCTGAATGTGAGGCAGCAGACTTCCTCCTGAGTAAGCTGACCCTCTGGACAGATAAATGCCGACGCCTAGTTGGAAGAGACTTCAACACACCATCAGTTAACTGCGATAGACTAACAACAAAAGCCCCATGTAACTTGTTTGATCAATTTCTTTAGTCCTCATACAGCACATTAGGATTGCGACCAGATATGATAATCAGCATCCTCTATCAGTCCTAGACTTAGTATTCTCTCTCTCACACACAGATGATGTATGTTTTATCCGGCACCTAGCACCCCTTGATAAAAGTGATCACGTTGTGATCATTTTCAGATTCACAGCAGACTTCTTGCACCAGGCCGATGCTCCAGCTAGACCCAACATATGAAAAGCGAATATGGAAGCTATTAACCTGGCAGCCACTTAGAAGGACTGGATATTCAATCCAGAAGAGTCATTTGAAGGTGCGTGGTGCTCCTTAAAATAGTTATATGCACGAGTGACCCAACCGTTCATTCCGTTGACGGTCCCGTGGGGACGGAAACATTGTTCTCCGTGGATTAACCACGAAATCCGAATCTTACTACAACGTTAAAAACGTTTCGGAGTCTTGCCACCCACCTCGACACACCTGAAGTGGCGAAGCGTTACAAAGAAGCCCAAAATAAATGTATCGCTGCTATTCAACGGTCTCTAATATACTTTGAAACACGTCTTTCCAAGGCTGCATTCCAACATCCGAAGAGGTTATTTTCCCATATGAACTGTAGAAATAGGATGTGTCGTGGTATCCACGCCCTTATCAATGGGACCGAAACTCACTGATTAAGCACGACAGGGAAGAAGCAAAGCCGTGGCTGGATATTCTCCTGAGGTCTTCACACAAGAATCTTCTGTGGACACTTATCCAACAGTGGAAGCATTGACATCCAGCAGAATGAACTCTGTAGATATCGATTACAATAATGTATTTCGGATATTGAGTAATCTCGACGTGCGAAAATCAACGGGACTGGATGAGCTGCACTCAAGGCTCCTGAGAGAGTTTAAGCTCTATGTAGCTGGCCTGTTGACTACTATATTCAGACTATCTCTCAATGAGGGAATACTCCCCTATGATTGGAAGGATACCATAGTAACATCTATTCACAAGACAGGTTCTACGTAGCCCCCATTTAATTAAAGACCGATGAGTTTGACTATTACTGTAGTAAAAATCCTAGAAAGAGTAATCAAGAAAGCCATCACAGTCCACCTAGAGAGCAGCACTCTATTATCTCGTTCGCAGCATGGCTTTCGTAGAAATTTCTCTTGCTTGACGAACCTCCTCACAGTTAGAGAAAGTTGGGTTAAGTCTAAAGATGATAGGATACCTGTAGATTTCATTTTCATTGACCTTAGTAAGGCGTTTGACAAGGCACCTCATTCCAGGTTGCTCAGAAAACTGAGAAGTTTTGGAATCACTGGCAGTCTGCTCGCATGGATAAGAGTTCCTTGTTGGTAGGTGACAAAAAGTAAGGATCAATTCTCAACTCTCCACATGGAGTTCGGTAGAGAGTGGATTACCACAAGGCACAGTCCTGCACCCCCTGCTGTTTCTCCTAGACGTAAATGAGCTGTCAAATATCGAGAAATCTAAGGGTCGCTATACTGATGTGAAAATCTGGCGGAAAATTAGGAACGATGACGATATACGTGTGCTTTAGACAGACCTGAACAGCTTGTTTGCCTGGTCAGAGATGTGGTGCATTGATGCTTATTATTACAGGTAAATGAGTGAGCATGCAGTCGGGGCACACACAGCAACACCCAAGATATTGATAGGACTCCTCTACCGTTGGTGCTGACCTACAATGACCTAGGAGTCACAGTGAGTTATGACTTGAAAACCATGACACGTTGTTGACTGGTAGCAGCTCGGAGTTTTAGAACTCTCTGGGCACAAAGTGGAACTTTTACAAAAATAAGTGGTGACATGTTCGCCATCTTATACACATATTTAGTTAGGTCTAAATTAGAAAACTGTACACAGGCGGCTAATCCTTGTCTGAAAGGTGACGCAGATCTTCTAAAAAGAGTTCAAAGGGCAGTCAATTGTATGATCCCTGCGATAGTTGGCCTCACCTATGATGACCGACTTGAGGAGCTGAACCTCTTCACTTTGTCCTACCGTAGACACAGGGGAGACTTAATCATGCTATTCACGATTACAAGAAATAACTTCAGACCTGATCTATCTTCTCTTCCCCTTCTCAATAGGTCGGAACAAATCAGTGGACATAGAGGGAGACTACAAAAGCAAAGAATCAACATGGTCTCCGCAGATTATTGATTCTCGTGTCGAGTAATCAACGCCTGGAACCGACCCCCGGAAGAAGTGGCGTCCGCATCACCAGTTGAACCGTTCGAAAGAGGATTGGACAAGCACAGAAATCTACTGAAAAAGGATCAATATAGGCTCCCAGCCTCCTATCCGCAAAACAACTAATCTGAATCTGAGTCTCATTTGATTTCAGGAGACCTAGCGTTTGTATGTGGCATAGTGTCTTGTCGATATAAGACTATTAGTCAATGTTAACACCTCAAATTAAACAGAGCTTTTGGTCTTGTTCATTACTACCACGGATATACGGTTTGAAATTTTGAGACTGAAAGTTTAAACTTTATATGTCACGCTAAAGGACTGGGATACAAAAACTTCACTTACATATGAATTCATGTTTAGACAATGGTAGGATAGTTATGTTACTGAACTTGTACAATTTCAATACACACGGCTTTAGTATACCATGATGCTTCTTTATCTCCATGAATATTTTGAATGGATTAACAACTTCAAAACATTGATTTTCATTTGCATTCTTTGTTACTTTTAGAATTCAGCAAAATGAAATAATTAAAGCCTCTTTCGACCAAAAGCTACTTTCAATAAGTGAAACAGTTTCACGAAATACGCGACGAAGTTCATCCATTTGAAACAGTAGTGTTTGGAATTACCTTGGGGAGAATAAATATAAACTCACACAACAATATATACTTTCAATGTTCAATGCCCGTTTTACCAGCCAGTATAGACTGGTTGATACTTTTCTGCTTTCTTCTTAGTGTTACGGAGCAGTTTCAGGTCCTTAATGCATTGTGATATGGTAAATCAGCCATCCGCCCTCAGAAGACCAGTAGGGGGATAAGGGACTGGCTAAACCTGGAAGGAAATGTATGAAGTTGACTACGAATTCAGCACTGGTAGAACCTTTGGATGTTATTTCACTCGACTGTTATTAAAGCCGATCGAATAATTATGGTCTATGAGGTTCCAATATCCAAAATCCCATATTGATAGTGCGAGCGTAGAAAACTGGTAGATTTTGATCTCTCGCGTCTAGTTCTTAGGGCTTGGTTCGAGTTGTTCGGTTCACTCCTGCAGTGGATGAGGAAATCCTCTCTGCTTTCTTGCTTTTAGCTTCGGTGAGGTGGTTGTTTTGTGGGTTAGTAAGTTGTAATTTGCAGAGTGATTGGGGAGCTACGGGTTGCTGAGACGTTTGGGGAACTGACGTGACTCCTGTCTGTGTAGGTACCTGAAAGAGACAAGTAAGCTAGTGGTAAAAGAATGAGGAGAGAAGAAAAAAGCGAAGAAAGAAAGATGAAAAATAATAATAAATAAGCGAAGAGAAAGGGGAAAAGAATGGAAGGAGAAGAAAAGGAGGGGTGAAAAGGGGAAATAAGAGCGAAAGAAAAGTAATTGGGAATTGCGTGAATGGTTGCTGGGGTTTGGTTCCTACAGAAGAATTAGTAGGTAATGTGGGTGTATTAAGGAGGGAGATAGTGAGTGATAGTTAGGAGGGAGTTGGGGGCTAGTGAGGTTGGTGACTACCTGAGTACGTCCGTGGTAGTATATGCGAGGTGACATAACTGTCCAATCGCCTCTTGAATGAGTCGACTGAGGGAGCTATAACGATAAGTTGCGGTGAGGCACTCCATAAAGCACATACTATTAGGGAGAAAAATTTGGACCTGAGTATGGTGTTGGTTCTCTGGTGTGCTATCTTAATGGGGTTTCCTCGTGAAGATGGTTGAGTTGCAGGCAAAATTGATTTGTTTGCATGATCTGCCTGATGGGCGATCTTGCGTGCCACAATAAGGTCACCCCTTTTCCTACATTAACCCAAGGTAAATAGGTTTAGGTGTTTAAGTCTTTCAGGATACGTCTTTCCCCTTAGCCCCACAACACATTTTGTTGCAGTTCTTTGTATTCTTTCAAGGAGATTGGAGTCTCTCTTGAGTGTTGGAGGAGACACCGTGTTAAAGACCTCCAGATGCGGCCGCACATAGGATTTGAAAATGGTGAGGAAGAGTTCGGGAGTGAGGGCGCCAAGCTGTCTACGCAAAACGTGTAGGATGGCATTCGTCCTGGTTGTCATACCTTAGTAGTAGGAGCTGGTGTCCAAGGTGTCGGAGAAGTTGAGCCCCAAATCTTTCTCCATGGATACTCTGGTGATGGCACGGTTGCTCAACATGTACTGGAAGTCGGTCGTACCTGCTTCATTTTTACTGATGTGCATTACTTTGCACTTTTCCAGGTTGAAGCTCAGGCCATTTTCCGACGGCCAGAGCTCGAGTTGCTGCAAGTCATGTTGCAGTGCTGTACAATCAGCTTCTTCGTTTACCACTCTCCAAATTTTTATGCCGTCAGCGGAGAGGAGGATGGGTGAGGATATTTTATCTGGTAGATCGTTGACAAACAGGACTAACAGAAGCAGTCCTAGGATTGCTCCTAGGGATACGCCTGACGCCGAGGGCCTCCACTCTGACCTTATTCTGTTTACTTTAGTGCAGAACTGCCTCCCCTCCAGGTACTCCTTGAGACAAGAGAGGAGGGGTTCACTTATACCAGCTGACATGATCTTGTGAAGCAGTACTGTAGGTGGGACACTATCACATGCTTTGGCTAGGTCAAGAAGTACAACATGTACCGGTTTTCTGTTATCCCAGCTTCGTGTTCAGTCGTCCCAGGTGGTTGGTGAGCTGGTGGCACATGAGCGACCACTCCGAAAGCCATGCTGAGCAGCATGGACAGTGTTTTCACCATTGAGGAATTCCCAGACGGTGTCGGCTACCAGACTTTCCAACACTTTCGACACAATAGGGAGTAGAGCAATTGGCCTGTAGCTGCCAGGGCTTTTTCCATCTCCTGCCTTCAGGGTGGGTGACAAGATGGTTCTCTTCCATTCTTTAGGAAGTTTGCGAGACTCCTGAGTGCCCATAACGGTTGCGAAGTGGTTTGGTGAGCACCTCTGAGCAGGCTTATAGAACCACTGGTTTTAGGTTATCACAGCCAGGGGACTTGCCTGAACGTAGCCTAGATATTTTCTCGAACACTTCTCTCCGTAATTGAGATGTGACAGAGGTATTCGTTATTTACGACCTGGTTGGTGTCGTGGCGAGTCGGTGTGGATCTTGTGTCAGTGCTGAGTTGGGCTTGGAAGTGTGAGCTCAAAAGCTCGGCAATCTCTAGACTGCCTAGTTTACTCTCGCCATGGCCTATGACAAGATTCACTCCCTTACTGGTCGACTTTCTTCCTGACGTGGAGCGGTACAGGTTTTCGGGATTGCTTTGTAACCTCTCTGCCAAGTTTGTTTTACAGGAAAATCTGTCGATACGCACTCTAATGCTACAGCGGTTGCGAACCCTCCTGTAGTTCAAGAAGTCAGGCTCCCTGCGTGATGTACGCCACCTGAACCAAACCTGCTTCTTGCTCCGGATATGCCTCTCTGTCCCACTCTTTAGCCATAAGGTTCTCACTGTTTGTCTGTGTGTTACTTCTGGCATACTGTGACTGGTGGCCCCAGTGATTATTTTCTTCACCTCCAACCAGTGTTCATCTATTGTGAGATGAGTCCAGTCCACCGGCCATGATGCATTCATGAGGTAGTCCCTCATGGTCGCATAGTTGGCCTTGCTGTAGCAAGGGAAGGTGTTGGGCGTCTCCAGTTGCAGAGCCTCCCTAGTAATCATGGAGAAGGTGATTACAGCGTGGTCACTGAGGCCAAGGGGAGGTAGGATGCAAACGTCCTCAATGAGAAGTTAATCGTTCGTCAGAACGTAGTCAAGGCGCGATGCGTTTCCGTGTGTGGCATCACTCACTTTCTCTGAGAGGCCAGCAGTCCAAAGTGCATCCTTCAGCTTCTGGCTGAAGGATCTGATGCGTCTCCCTTCCGTCTCTAAGAGGATGGACGGGGTGTTGAGGTCACCGGCAGTGACTACGGAATGTTAAGTTGCAGAGGAAGTCGTTAAGGTCGCCTTGATGACCATTTCTGTTATGTGTAGGGGGGCTGGTGGGAGACCGATATATGACTCCAAGCAGGTATTTGGTACGGTGGGGAGTGAAGTAGCACCATGGAGATTCTGGGAGCTGGGTCAAGGCCGTATCGTTAACCACCCTTGCCTTTAAACGAAAGTTTACATAGAGAGCCACTCCTCCTCCTGCTCTATGTTCCCTGTCCCTGCGGAAGAGTTCCATGCCAGTAACATGCATCTCTTCGTCAGAGATGTCCGGTGGGAGCCAGGATTCGGTGATGAATATGATGTCGGAGTGCTGATGTTCACGCAGCGTCCTCATTTCTGCTACCTTCCCTCTTAGCCCCCTAACGTTGCTGTACATACATATTAGAGTGTGCTCGGTGGTTGTGTATTTTCGCGAGATAAGCGCTTACGTGGTTGGGTCCAGCGCAGCCAGTCCTCCGGTCCTGAGTTGGAGGATGTTGATCTGATAAGTCTAGGTTTCCTTGTGTTTACTGCGTTCAGACTGCAAGATAAAATTACTCTGCAACCAGCCTAACCGGGATGACGCCAATATGATAAGACATGTCGTCTCACATCATTTTGATATTCTTGTCCTACATAATGTATGGAACACTGATTCCTGCAACGAGAGCAAGCGACTGTGTGGAGCAGAAATCAGAGGGAGTCCCGTCTGACATTTACCTGGGTTCACCGCAAATACATTATTAACCAGCACCTGTAGCGTCACACACTTCCCCAAAAACCAATAGCCTAGGGTTCGACGACATTCAACATTGATGCTGACCTTGATAGTTTAACTGGACTCGCCACGCTGAAGGCACACGATCAAGCATCCTCGCCATTTGGCACGCTGTCGTGCTACGTTGCACCGTTCGTAATCGACTCTGTGGCCAGTTAGTCGGAACGCATCGGTCTCTTGCCACAACCACCCAGATATACCATTCCATCCGACTACGCTATCGTGTTCTTCCTTGGTCTCGTATTCGTGGGTATGTAGCAAGTTTGAATAATTAGTGATTGGTCTTTGCATCTGTCAAGCTCGCACCAGAACAATTCCTAAATTGGTGAGCCTGTTCCATTTTAAATTCGTATATTGTTTTCATTTCGATAACATTTATAAATCCACTTACTACACTTTCTCATGTCCGATCACACCATCAAGCTTATCCGTATTAGGCCGACTATGAACACCATCCAACTCGTGCCATATTAGTCAGACAATGCAGAAACGTGGCTTCTGTATGCCAAGGCAGATTTTTGAGAACAGGGAATCTCAGATCCTCGTACGTTCACTACCGTGGGAATTAAACAGGCATGTTACAGCACGTATGTTTGGTCCTGAAGTAAGTAATCCTTATGCACTTCCCAAAGCCGCACTCTGGAAGAAAAGCGACCTCACAGATCGCCTGGGCCTAGATGAATTGCTTCGTAACATCGAACTAGGCAGCCATTCAGCTACTGAAGTCCTCGCAGGCATACGAAAAGTTATGGGTGCACAAACATTCGACGATGGCCTTTTCCGGGAACTGTTTCCCTCGAAACTACCACAACCGGTGCAAGTCGTGTTGGTGACACTTCAGTCAGTCCCACGCGATGACCTGGCAGCCTCGGCGGATAAAATACTGGAGACTTCCAGCAGACCCGTCTCCAACGTCTATTCTGTCTGCGACAAACCAAAGAGCCAGGATCTACAGGTAACCAAGCTGTGCAACTCTGTCAAACAGTTGATACGATCTTGAAGTCCCGGTTTACGTAGCACTTCACAGAAACGCATCTTAGCGCATCGCAGTAACTCTCGTGGTTGCCCCAAAACTAAGCCTAA